CACTCTTTCGTCTCTCAATCGATTCATCGCATAGAAGTGTCTCAAAGGGACTACCGACCGATAGTCAAGTATTGCCAGAGTACTCTATTCTCTCGTACTCTAATTTCATATTCATGTATGCATTTTCTAGCTATATTCACTGCAGTTTTATTCCACTACGGCTGTTGTTATTCTATTTGCTCCTGTCAATTTTTCTTATAATTTCAATATTGGATTACCACAACGATTTTTCTTAGTTCTAACATCTCTGGAAGAACTTTAACTTCCCCAATTCATTCTCTTTTTATCAGGTAATTAAATCCAGTCTTTTATCCCGAATTTTGTTTTGATTAGTCAAAAAAAGTTTTAGCAACAGTTTGTTTTCTGCTTGTTATGCTCCAATTGAAAAAATGATGTAGTAGTCAATACTGATTAGTTTTATCGTACATTAAATTTCTTTTGTGAATTGAAGGTTTTTTTTGTTACCATTTTAACTAATAAATGTAACAGCTAGCGTCTGACCTTCATTAATTACCGCTCCAATTGAGTGATGTGACTTCATTTTCAATTGTTTCAGATTTGCCACTAATTCACTTAATTATTTCCTTTTCAACTTTTTAGTTGTCAAGTCGCTTAAGTCGTAACGAGGAATTTTTTTATCAACGAGGCTTCAGTTTTTGAAAACATGTCACTAGAAAGAAGCAAGCAAAAAGATTTTTTCATCATTTTAAACCGTTTGAAAACCTTTGTATTGGCAAATGAGCTGATTAAGGTTTTACACTTTTTTACTTGGATGGTGGCCCCAAAAACATACCCAAGCTAAAACGATTTGTTAAAGCTTATTGGTTTAGACTTAAAAGCAGCAAGTTTTGAAAACAAAAGCTACTAATTCCAACTTCCCCGAATCTGTTTATGAATCTGACAGAGATAAAAAAGATTCTGCATCTCTATATCGCAATTGAATAGAGACTCAATTCAGCTGCCTCAATTATTTTGAGACGCAACATAAAGATAGTCCCAATGGTAAAAGACTCTTTTCTAGGGATTGAATTTTCTTTTTCAACCTGTTAATGGAGTCATAATTAAAAAAAAACTTTAACAACGAAACACAACGTAAAGATATATCATTACACACATAGCACCAATAAAATGAACACCGTTGTGACAGATTTTATCTACGGTAAAAACTGAACAAGGCAAAACGTTACTTATATTGGATGGACACGAGCTCACTAAAAAGCGAGACACTAAATCTACCACTCACTGGCGTTGTGCAAAATCACGTTCACGTTAATGACCAATTACTATTGAATTTGGCAATGAAACCTTCATTTCGTTCGGTCACGAGCACAGCCATGAGTTTAACCCCGGTCGCGTAGAAGCAAGGCAGCTAGTTAGTCAAATGAAAAAAAAAACAGCAAAACCCCACGTCAATCCTGTAAACAACCAGTTGATGGCAATTAGCCTAAGGCTGTAAGCGATAAATGCAGCCCAGACAAGAACCCTCATTAGGAACAAAACGGAAGAACCACGAGAAGTAATTTCATCAACTAAGCGTCACTTCGACGTTCCCGAAATATATTTACCTTTTTGTGTACATGACTGCTGAAAAGAAGACAGCGAGCGACTCGGAACTCTCGGGGATATGGAAAACTTAAATGCTTTTTGCATCCATAGCAAATTTTGGCTTTGTGATGGAACTTTAGGATATTTCCGTCTCAGTTTTATCGATTGTACACAGTACATATCCAGATTATCGGCTTTTATTCCCCCTGCGTTTACGTTTTGCTTAGCAACAAAACGGAGTGCACCAACATCAGTTTTTTAAAAGCCGTGATTAGCTTTAAAGAAGTCGCCGTACCCCCCAAAAAAATCTATTTAGCTTCGAACAAGCTGCCTTGAATGAATTTCCATCTCTTCAAGAAAATGAAAGCAAAGATTGCGATTTTGGTTTATGCCAAAGATTCCATCGCGAGCTTTCAAAGTTAGGGCTAAAAAAACCTATGAAGACAATGCTAAGCTAGCCCTAACCTTAAAAATAATCCCAGCTGTTAGCTTCTTTCCTCTTTAGATGTCGAATCTGCGTTTACTTTTGTCATAGAGGAAAATTGCCAAACTGTTCGTCTTCATTTTTGGAGTTCGCAACAGATTTTTTCAGTTTTTAAACGCATATTTTAATCAAAGCAGCCTTAGTTGAACAAAAAAATCAAAAAGCCGACAACAAGATTGTTGAGATTTTTTGGCACAAACATTGTCATTTAAAAAAAACAAAGTCAAAAATTTTAAATCAAAGTCTTGACAATTATTCTATCCATTTTTGATCTAACAAAATATTGAAACAAATAGCAATGAAAATGGAATAATAGTAGCACGGAGTTGTTTATTTGAAAAAAAATGGAAGCTACGTTCATGATTTTTAAAACTTCAATGAAATTTGAAACGAAGGCGTTTACTGCAAACATTTTCAGTCAAAAATAACAAAAAAGCGTTGTTTTCATTGAGATAGAATTTTAAACAGAGATCATTGTCAGACCTTCAACAATTTATTACACATTGGTGGTATCGAAGAAAAATGGAATAGTTGTGATTTTTTAGAGCTTTGGTTTGTCAGTACCAAATATGAATACGCCTACTCAGATTACACACTTTTTGAACTTTTTAAAAATCTTTGAGCTAATGAATGTGTTAGTTTTTATGTTCGTCAATCAAATTTTTCACGGCGAAACATCATTCTAAAAAATTGACTCAGATTATCTACTTGTAATCAATCAGCTTAATTTCAGTTTTAATTATCACAAGCAATCAGATAAGAGTTAGTCAGATAAGTCGGCATACTTTCTTTCAACTACACGGAACTATATAATGCAAAAAAAGGCTTTGATGAAACGTTTTTCAAGTTTTTAAATAAACATATTCCTCAAAAACTTTTAAAAAAAATCAAATTGAAGTAGTTATGAGTACGCGTTGTGACAAAAAAAAACTACAAACGTGTAGAAAATTAGTTGATTGAGCATAATTAACATCATTTAACCAAACAAATGAATACCAAACAAAAATATCAGCAAAATTTTGAAAAATAGAAATTAAAAAAAAGTGTTTGCCTTGTAGCGCTCAATTGAACTACACTTTGGCCCAGAAAGCCTTAGATGCATTTCTTTCGGGTACAATCAAGATTTTTCAGCCTAAAAATATCAAATTACGAACGTTAATTGATAGATCTATTAGCTCAAAATTATAATGCGCTACTTCAAACAGCTTTTTATCAACACTGGAAAAACGTTTTGAAAGTTTTTTGTGCTAAAAGGCTTGAAATACGGCTAGAAATGCTTCAGTTTGATATATCACTCAGCCCGATCCGATGATTATTTGTAGTACTTGACACTATTATATGTCGGAACAATCATTCATATCCACGTCTCATTGTTTTTTTTGAGTTCAAACAACTTATTTTGAAGAGTAATTTACTGTTAAATGAGTGAAAAAAAATTAATTTTTATTATTATTAAGTATATTGACTCATTCCCAATTATGTTACAGATTCTCGACAAAACATTAAGTTTAAGGCTCGGATTTGATAATCAATAAGAAAACTATAGTTAAAAGACTCAAGAGATCCCTAATTTTTTGTGCTGATGAGCACCATGCTACCGAAAATTTTTTTTACATAGCAACAGCCAAACATTTTTCAAAGATATGAAGCTTATTTTTATGCATCATATTTAGTGAGAAACAAAATAAATCCTGCCTTTATTCATTACAATTGTCACATTTTCTTTTCAAAGAATTGAAGCTAAATCATACACCATTTTTCACATTTGTTTTGATTGAATAAATCTACTGTATCAAAGTTTAGAATTATGGTGAGATTTTTCATTGACTCTGTTGAATTAAACGCTATCATAAATTTGCAAGCCAGGTTTTGAAATTTGCTGAATCTTAGCAGAGCTTTTTTCTTTTTAATTTTAGAAAACACTCATTGCCAAAAAAAGCCCTCAATTGAGCTTTTCAAATTTGTATTGTTAGTTTTGAAATGATTTTTTGTGGTACCTGATTTGCGTTAAGAAAGTCAAACAAAAGACACTAAAGACGAACACACGCGAAGTCGAAGTTCTTTCTTATTTTCAATGGACCGAACAATCCAGGTTTCGAATTGTTACATTGATAGTTTTCTTAGTTTGTAAGGTTCATGATATCATCTATGCTTGTACTGAGCATCGGTTAAAGCAAATAAACTGGTTTTGAAAACTCAAATGTTTTCAATCTTGTTCTTGATCAAAATTTAAAACGTAGTCATCTGACAGTAGGAACTAGCTTAATGAAAATTGAGCACTTAAGCAGAAATCAAGATACTTTTTCTTCAGGATTTCTAGAAATTGTGAGACTCTAAGTAATTGGCGATTTTTCGCGTCTTTATATTCCATCTACCTCAAGAGTGCGTGAAGAAACTGACATGCTGAGGGTTCTCAGCCGCAATAAATTAAATATATAGAAAAAAAAACTTTTTCATCACAAGAGAACGGAACTATATTAATCTGGAGTTGGTTTAACTAAAACCAACAAGAAATCGGGAAATAAGATTAGAATGGCTAATGAAACGCAAACAGATTTGCGTCGTAATGATTTTTACAGATATGCAAGGCTGTCAACTTGAAAAATATTTACCAACTGACAAGGCACTAACCCTCGCAAAGGTAACGAGAAACAAACATAACCAACAGAGAGTTGACAGATATTTTCAAAAAAAAAGTTTGAACAATTATCAGCTTCCGGAGAATAAACTTCAAAAAAATTGACTTGATATGTTTAATTTTTGATTGCTCTGGAAAAACTTAAATGAAAGACCACTTTAATTTGAAAATGAAGAAATGAAGTCAACAAACTTTTCCACATCTAATGTTTTTGAAGAGAGCGTGATTGGGCAAATTTGAAAAAGAAAAATTTACAAAAATTCTCTCACAGAAAAAATTAACACGACCATATTAAAGACTTCTCTCTGTTCATTGACACTTAAAAACATCGGGAACAGGTTGAATTAAATAATCTACAATCTACACTTGCAAATTCAAAAAAACTACAATAATTCTTATTTCGATGAGGAAGCATTGGTTCAAAGGCAAGTTTAATTTTCTTGAAAATGAGTTCAGCTCAACTTTTCGATTGTCGATATTTATTGGCTGCTTTCAGTTTGGTTGTATTTTACAAAAGCTGCTTATCTCTTTCTTCCTGCTCTTTAAGGAAGTCTCTCACAGGTTGGTTTGATTGGATGCACTTAAACACCAGGAAGTCTTCTCTTCCAATGTAGGAGACAGCGAAACTCCTCCCAGCATTAGTCGGATCCGAGAAAGCTAACAGCTCTTTAGGCAACATTCCGTCTTCGTAATTAACGCCACGTAAACGCCTAAACAAAATTATAATCGTTATACTTTTTTCACACAGAGGCGATGCTGAGCTTCGCGTCACTTGAGATACAATACAAAACAGCCACTAAATCAAACAAAAAAATCGAAAAACAAACACAAAACGAAAAAAAAGAATCAAAAACTCACTCCATGACAATAGAAGGTAAAATTAGAATTAAAAAAAGTTACCAAGCTGTAAACAAGCCGAAAAAAAAAAATCTGAGAGAAAACCCTTTAAGCCAAAAAAATTCAAAAAAAGACTTTTTTATCCCCATTCCTCTCAATACACACATGCACACAAAAAAAATTTTGCTCATCAAAAGACAAAATATGAGGCCAATCAAGCCAATATAAAATAGGCTGACGCCGAGAAAAAAATTTTTAAAATCCTTGAAACTAATAAAAAAAGTTGTTAAGCCATATCCCCTTCAATACTCACACGCACACATTTTTTATTCGCTCATTGAACGAAAAAATATTAGACCAATAAGCCGATACAAAATAGGCCGAAAGTTGAACTGAGAAGAAAGAAAAAAGCGAGAAAAAAAACGAAACTTAAAAAAAGAAAAAGGACTTAGAAACTGATAAATAAGTCACATAGCCTTCATTACACACATACTTACACAATTTTTTTTTGCTTGTTTGATAAAATTACAACCAACCTAAAAAGCAAACTTTGAAAAGTACGGATATTCAAAATGTTAACATTGCTCAAAAGACTTATTTTGAGCATGTTAACATTTTGAATATCCGTACTTTTCAAAGTTTGCTTTTTAGGTTGGTTGTAATTTTATCAACTAAGCAAAAAAAATTGTGTAAGTGTGCGTGTAATGAAGGAGATGTGACTTAAATAACTTTTCTTTCTAGTTGATAAAATTACAACCAACCTAAAAAGCAAATTTGAAAAGTACGGATATTCAAAATGTTAACATGCTCAAAATAAGTCTGCTGCAGTTTCCAACAGAGAGACGACTGCTGCAGTTCAGAGTACAAGCTGAAAATGGGGATCTTGAAATTGCAGATCACCCTGTTGACAAAGTTGTAAATGGAAAAAATTCTAGTACCCGATTGCAATGTCCTTGCTTATCGGCTTATTGAAAACCTTAATGATATTGAAAACCAACGTTTCAAAAAACACAATTTTTAGCCGTTCTTAGATAAAAAAGCTGCTATATATTTTCAACCCAAAGACTCTCAGACTAATTTGCGCAACATGTAGCACTAAATGATGCAATGGAAAATAACATTGTGAAACGATGACCACTCGGCTCATTTCTAGTTACCCCTTGATTTTCTCTATAATTTTACGACCGAAACTTTATTTAAATTGACTTTTGATATTTTAAACTGCACTAAAACGCAAAATTCACTAAAACGCAAACATTTAAACGCAAAACTCGGATGAACAATTTTTGAACCAACTCATGTTTTAATTGAACAAAGAGTAAACTGGAAAAGCGCCAAATACTCGATACTCGAGTGAGATGTGACCTGAGAGCGTTGACCATGCGAGTGGCGATGTGTCTCCTCTTGACCTGGGGGGCCACCCAGATCCTGCTCACCCCACAGTCTGCTGTCTCGGGGGTGAGGCTGCAACTCCAGCTGCGCCCTATCTCTTCCTCTTCACCACGGGCATTAGTCACTGTGCCACTGACCGGGTCAGAAGTCGAACTACATGCTGCTGTGTCATCTGCCACTACTCGGAAGCCCTAAAAGCAGACATTGAAGGATCATAAAACTCGTAGAACATGATTGCACATAGCCACCATTGGTAAACAATATATTTTCGCTAATTTCCGCCAAATAATTACGAACATCAAGTTTTAATATTAAGCTACATTGATTAAAAATTAAGATCTAATTTTTACACTTAAGCTTTTGATTTGTAAATGCTTATTTTGCTGCGATTTAAAATTTGGTGAAAATTGTATGTCATAAATTATATAAAAATTAAGAGTCATAAATTGCATTAGGCTCTTTTCTAGTTCCCCCTTCTATATTTTCAAAATTCAAAAAATGAAGGTCATTTTAAATGACTTTACATGTTATAAGCTGCAATCAAACGTGTCAGCGGGAGCAGGTGAATAATTTTTATAAACATTTCTAATCTGCAAAATGCCGTGTAAACAATTTTTGGCTCTTTTCTTCTTTTCCATCCCCTCAAAAAAATTACAAAGAAAATTGTTCACACGGCATTTTGCATGGAAATGTAAAAAATTGTTTATCTGTTAACGCTGACACGTTTCAATGCAATTTATAACATGAAAAGTCATTTTAAATACTCTCATGTTGAATTTCAGAGAAAATCAAAAGGGGAACTGGAAAAGAGCCCAATTTTTGAGCAGTTTTATTTTGTAATTTTACAAAGGGGTGGGAACTTGTAAAAGAGCCTTACATTATGTCCAACAGGTCCAACTGTTACTTGGTTGGGGGATTTCAATTAAAGTTTCTTAAAGAACACTAATTTCAATTCAGAAAAACGAGCCTTGAAGTTCCACGTGTCAAATAAAAAGACGCTCGTGATTCTTCTGGAGGCTATAACAATTGAAATCGATCTGCATATGAAAGGAGTTCTTCCAAATAATCCACTAAACTTCACAATGGAACCCCGACAGCCATGAAGAACCATCAGAACCCACGTTTGAGACAACAACCAAAAACAGCCAAGCAGAACCCAGCAGTTAAAACAGAGGTTACTCGACGGTTTCAGGTGAAAGTGAGAAAGGCTCTCGAGATCGTCATCATAGTAGTCAGTTGCGGCCTCATTCTGGAGTTTTTCATATTTCTGTATTATTGGATCCACTTGAATATTACAGACTCCTATCTCAACGCATTCTTCACAGTCAGTCAGAAGCTGTCTGTACTCATTAGCCTCAGTCTCTATCTCACTCTGCTGGCTATCCTGTGTGGGGGAATCAGTGGACTGGTGGGTGCGGCAGCCAAGAAGCCAGCTGCCGTGTTTGTATCGGCCGTCTGCTACCTTGAGATATTTCTAGGTAATGCTACCCTTAGACACTTGCATTTATCAAATCATTCTAGATGACAAAAAGACAGAAAAAAACAAGGGCGATATATACGACTATGTTTGCTCAATGAGGCTTCACTCCACAGGCAACTCAGCCTATTGGAGTGCTCTCAAATGGCAGTAAAATGTAGAAGTTTCACTTCTACGCCTCTTATTTGGCCCTTTTCCTACCCCAACCCACATGCAAACTTCTCTGTTCACCTTGTTTTAAAATGTGGCGGCTCTTTTTCCTCGTCCCCACCTCACATAAGCATCAATTTCATGGTATAACGAATGGTTTTACAAGGTTGGGTATGAAGATCAAATATGTTTGTCGTGGCCTTATTAGTCCATATGCCAAATTTTGCACAGATGCGAAGCTGTGCTTCGCTAACACTTGCGAGAACATGACCAAAAAGCAGCTCTATCAAGTGAAATATGAAAAAGTAGAATTAAGCCCCGAATTAGAAAAAAACGGCTACGAGTAGGATCGGAATCTGCGACCTACTGCAATCAAAAGAATTTGAGTCTCACGCACTAGCCACTCAGCCACGCAAGCTTAACAACCGACAAACACTAGTCACGAATAAAGCAGCTACATATGCTAATTAAACGGCAGTACCAATCAGCAAATTTGGCACCAAATACAAATTGAATCAATTTTGCAAGTAATAACTTGTAATATAACAAAATGAAGGCATCCACACTAACTTTGCTAGGAACAAATGGTAAAGCACAAAGCCACATTATGTATAAATTAGGCATTTCGAAAAATAATACAATGAGTTATAAAATTTCTGAAATCGAGATTTTATTATTGTTATGTTGTTTGAAACATTTAGTTTTTTTTCGGCTCACTTGATCAGCTAAAAATGCATCAACTGTTTTAATTTATTACTATTCGAATGTCAAAGCACATTCTATCGAAAAGCTGTAAAGGTGCAGCAAACAAGCTGCCATGACAATGCGATGCAGCAAATATTGTTGCTTAAAGTCGCAACAACATTTGCGACTTAGTCGCAACAAAAGTGCCACCAATATTTGCATTTTAAGTTGGAAAAAAAGACGGTTCGTACTAATACACTCGCTTGGCAAGTGTATTAAAAATCCGACAACGTGAACAGAAAAATTACTCTAAAAATCTTGCAGGTGAGGGGGGGGGGGGGGGGGTAGAAAAAGAGCTAATGTGGCATATGGACTAATTAGGCCATGTCAAGCGTATTTGGTCATTATACTTAACCTTTCGGGCTCTTTTTCCTTTCCCCCCGCCCACGCCCACCTGCAAAATTTTACTAGTGAAGTTTTGTTCACTTTATCCGAATGTTACAAAAATTGGCATGCGAACTAATTAGGCAATGACAAACATTTTTGGTCTTCATAATTAACCTTGTAAAACCCCTCGTTACACCATAAAATTGACGCTTATGTGAGGTGGGGGGGGGGGGGAAAGGAAAAGGAGCCCTCTTTTCTACCCCCTCCCAACATTTGAATTTCAATAATTTTGAAAAAGTAACTTTACGTTGTCATAATGTAATGAAATTTTGCATGGCGAACAAACCTACAAATGTGAACACATTTGTGTTCTTCATACCTTACATCGTAACAGCACACATAGCCATAATAACACGTAAGACCACTGAAAAAAAAATCAAAAATTTGAAAAATTGGGCGAAAGTGGAAAAGAGCCACCACTCGGTGCACCATAAAATTGATACTAATGCCCGGTGGGGGAAGAAGGAAAAAGAGCCTCATGTTTTGTTTCACCAGTTATTGCAAAATAAATACTAGAAAATTAGTATTTAAATAATTCCACCTTAAGCTCAGCAAACAACACACTAAGTGTAGCTCCCGCTTTGCAGGCATGTGTGAGTTTGGACTGATCGGGGCAGTGTACCCTACGCATAGACTGGAGTTAGCACTGGTGTCCCACCAGCAGCAGAGTGTGGATGACTTCTCGGAGAGTCCCAACGAGACGGAGAATGGAGAACACATGCTCTGGGCCACCATGCAGATCAAGTTCCAGTGCTGCGGAATGCAAAACAGGCACTGCACACATTCCATGCCTCTTTTCCACAATCCCCACATTTCAAATTTTCTTATTTTGATAGCTTGTTTTACGTGTTTTTATGGCTAAGTGCGTGAGGTTACTATGTAAAGTATGCAGTATAAAGCAGTTCATAATAGTATGTTAGTTTACCACGCAAAATGTCATAGCATTATGACAAAGTTAAAATAATTTTTGTTCCGTCTTTCGCAACGAAAGTAACAGAATATTTGTGCTCGGGTGCTTTTTTTTCTTCAGACATTTCGACTTTTTTAACTAGCCGTTTTTGACCGAATTTTTTAGCATTCAGAAGGTATTGTTGTTTTGAGCTTAAATTTGAAGATATTTTACCTGTGATCATTTTTCGTAAAGTTATGGGGGTTTAAAGATTGCCATTTTGGCCAATTTGGGACAATTAACGAGCGATATACTTCGCGCTATTAACGCGTAAGCGGAGATTTAATCCGTCTTAGAAATCGTTCCAAATTGGTTGAAGGGAGCTCATTTGCCACAATATATTTATTATTAGGAGCGAATTCTGTCACTTTGTAATTTACATGGCATGCCGGGAGATGATATAACAAAAAATCTCTAATTTAAAAAATTCTTTTTACCTTAATACATTTAATTTTTTCATGTTATTACTGCTCCATAGACCTTAAAAGGCAGTCGTAACATTCAGGGCATCGCCCTGATACAAGCAATCTTGATCAAATTTGTAATTCAAATATGGGCGCTTGGCTTGGGAGTGAAAAAGAGCCCAATCGTCTCATCTGAATAAGAAGATTACAAGACTAACTCTAATTTAAAGCTTCCGTATTCTTATCATAACCATTTTCGCTTTTATCAATTAATTACATAATTGCGATTCGGAACTATACCTCGACAATTGCCAAAAAAAGACAATTAGCAAAATCCGAACAAAAGACAACTCGCAAAAAGAGACAACTCGTATGAAACTCGGAAGAAATTTTTCCTTGCTCAAAATGTGAAACAAAAAGCCTTTGAGCGTTAACTTTTTTTGATCAAAGTTAAATGAAGAAGCTTCCAGCTGCGAAACTAGATCATTGTTTTGATAGTTTCTGACATCTTTTGTTGCAATTGTTCATATTTAGGACATTTATAGACTTAGGGATTTTATCCGGATTTGAAACGAATCAGGCGATTTTTGGTTAAACTTTGCCCCTTCCTTATTTGCTGAATGAATTTTGATAGTGGATTGAGCAGAACCAATTCTTAGAATTCCCGGCCCTAAGACATGAACCCAAGAAATTTTGACGCCTCAAAGGCTTTGATGTTTTACCGCTTTTTGTTTCACATCTTGACTAAGGAAGAATTTAAGTTTCTTCCGAGTTTTATACGAGTTGTCTCTTTTGGCGAGTTGTCTTTTTTTTTTAAATTTTGCAAATTGTCTTTTTTGCAAGTTGTCTTTTGTTGCCGTGACACAAAGGTAAACTAGTGAATCGTTATTTAGGAAGGAGTGGCGAGACAACAACAAAGTATTCACGAAGAGCAAAAAAGAAGACAGTCAGATGTTCCCCCTCTCCTGTTGCTCCGATCTATTCAAGGAAGACGACATGACCCACTCCAAATTCGAACAGCTGGTCGATTTATATAAGGAAGAGATGCAAACACTCTTCGGTGGATCCAGACATCGAAGAACGTCCAGAAGGTCAGTCTCTATCATTGCTACTACCTCTACTCTGAAACCTCTTCTCATGCCAAGAGGAGGATCCTCGCTGCCCTTCAATGCCTCTCAGCTCAACACAAATCTGCCACCCCTTATGGTAACGATAGCCCCAATTACTGCACCGCCTTCCAAGACGGGCCAATCATGTCTGATGAAGTACAATGAGGAAGATACAAATAAGCACTTCTTCAAAGCTGGCTGCGAGCCCAGATTCCTGCATTGGTATGATGACCAGGTGCGATATGTCTTTATAGTGTCCTTCGTGTTCTCATTCGTCCACTTGGCCTTCTGTGCCCCCACTCTCGCTCTCTTCATCTTGTACAACAAGAGTTACGACGAGGACGACGAGGATTACATTTAGTGCTCTCATTCAACTATTGTATTAGTGCACAAAGAATATTTAAAATAGACTCAATCTTCACCTTTCATATGAATTCTTCAATCGGAACAAAAGCAAATTATAATTTTACAAAAAAAATGTTTGTATGATCTGCTGAACACTTAAAATGTACAAGGAACAGGCTAGATTAACTTAAATATCACAAGAACAATTGATAAATCCAGAATAAAGATATTAACCCATTCGATCTTCTCTCCAAGTAAGTAGCCCACAAGGTTTCCATTGGTTGATACAAAGACCAGAATCTAAACACGCAACATCTTAATTTCAAAAAAACTTTGTTCCTTTCTTATGAACGAAGAATTTTGCTAACCAAATAAAAGATCTATTACGAATCAAATTTATATTTTCCGACCGATGCCAAAAATGGTTTAAAACGACTCTTTTCAAGGCATGCACGATATTTGTGTTCTCAAGAAATGTTTACACTCGATTTATTTTGATGATTATACGAAAAGATGATTTTTCTTAATACCGTTGGGAAGAGAAAACCAACGCGAGATTCTGAAAAATCGTCGTGTCTACCCGATGTTTTATTTATGACTCTGTTTAATATTACGAGTGAACTTACTAGGGGTTCAAGCCTGTCTTGTGAATCCTCCACAAAGCCCAGTTCAGCGTCTACTCTTTCTCTCAGCTCACCCACCACTCTCTCCAGATGACTCACAGGCTCACTGCTCAGACAGGAGACCCCATGCACATTCTGTGTGTTCTCATAGGCCACTTGGATGATACAACCATCTTCGAAGCTACCAACCACTCGCTCATTTCCTTTCAGCTAAACAAGTCGAACAATGCACTAGAAATTTGCGCAAAAATTGACTTATTCACTCCCAAACTGAATAAAAAAACTTGCAGTTGGCGTTTGGCTGCACTGCATTTGGTTGCTCTATTTTTTCAGATTTAGTATCTTAACTTTCGTTATCAGCTTCAATTTATCATCAATTATTGTTTATGAAGTAATGCTTAATGTAACTACGGTGTATTTGAGCAGCTTTGTTTTCTTGTTGTGGTATTTCTCGTGTAACTTAAGGTCGTCTGGATGAGAGGGCGTGTAGACGAAGCCACATGACTTGCACCAGCGCGCACCAAAGTTCTTTTGTCCAAAATCCTAAAAACAAACACTTTTATTCAGGTTACTGGCCAAAAATAGACATTGCATTTAATAATATGATTATAGAATTAGAAATGAGAACAACACCAGTGCAGCATTGAAAAAGAGAGTTTTCACCTATAAGCGATAAAAGCAAACATACTGCTCAAAACAACCTTTAAAATGGTCTTAACAACATCCTTGAAAATTCTTCTTACTAGCACAAGTTGTCTGTTGTCATTGGCTGTCTTTCGCATGGATCGCATCGCTCGTTTGGCACTTGGATCAGCAGTCAGAGCAGGATGAGAATAACTGTTGCTACTACTGGTGTCCTCCCGAGGTCTTTTGCTCGCTGCTTTCTTCGCTGGTTCCGAGTACGCCAGCATCTCTAGTGCATTCCGTTTCTTCTCTTCGCCTCTGTCAGGGGTTACAACAACCATCGCATCGGCTGAAACATACATGGAAAATTATACTACGAAGAAGAGACTGCCACGCAAAAAGAGAAAGAGTACACTCCACTTCAGCATAAAAACAGGCCAAGCAGAGAGACTATAGAGATTTTTAGCTATAAATGAGAAGGAATCATTTCTCAGCTACATATGCTCAAGTCACAAGACAATGACATCTAATACATATTAAGCTGACCAGTCAACCATACCTATTTGCGCGAAAAACGCCTGTTTTCCCAGCACTGATCTTTTGTTGATATAATTTACATCATCCTTGTCAGGGTTCTTGCAGTCTCTTCCCATATAAGTGTCCAGACTCGGATTCGTTTTCAATTGACGCTTTTTCATCATATTCTTTACGTCGCAAATCGAGACATCTAAACAGAATTTTTGATCCCATGAAAAAATATCTTTCAAATGTAATTACCAATATATAAACCTACAGCCAAAATACCCGCATATTATAATGGTCTTTTGAAACAGTAATTAACTTATCATGTTTTACAACTTGAAAAAATTCATCATAAGAATGTAGAAATTATACGCTCTTCGCTAAATTTGAGTATAGAAGCCGAAAAAATCAGACCAGCTTTTCTCAACACCGAACAACTCTTTTGATTCTTTACTGGTATTCGAATCGCGACTTCTGAAGGGGCTCACTGATTATACCAATCATGGTTTTTTTAATATTATACCAATACATACGCGCGTTCTTCTTTGAGGTTGGCAAAATCGAGCAGAAAAACTCAACGCCATAGTTCCATCCCACTCTATAAGAGTGATCAGAAAATATCCGAGCCAGTCGATAGTTAGACACAGAAGCGAATTAGAGCTTTGCATCACTTGCAACACAAAAATATATGCCAGTATTCAGGTGTAAAATAATTGACTGAAAGGTACGATACGTCGCAGTTTTTAACCAAAACCTTCAAAGTTTTTTCAAAATAGGTACAAGTTAGGCATTCTTAAACACACTTATAATTCATAAAAGCTCATTCGACAAACTCAAACCAGGTGAAAAAAATAGTGCAACTTATGAAAAATAGGAGATTGGAGGATTTTTTAAAACTTTGCTAGCACATAAATGAAACATGGTTTTAAACAATTTGATTTTGACATGAGATAAAACTTAAGAAGATTTCATTAACTCCTCGCTTCATTAAGACTGAGGAGTAAGAAGAACTAAACTAAATTCAGCAGTATTTTTAATCCCAACCAAAATTAAATTTCGAATAAGCCGTCAAAAATCAGTAAAACATAGCCAATCGAAAATATGAAAGGAGCAATGAACGCAAGTAAATATAAAAAATAACACTGAATTTCTTGAAAAACAATCTCAACTTTCGAACTTGAAAGAAAAAAATGCCCTTTAAGCTCTTTTAATTGTTAGAACGATTTATGATTGGCGCTTTTTTGATAACATTAACCCAACTTGAGAAAACTGGATTAACACATTAAGTTTTTATTCCGCTGGAAATCTAAAAAATAAATTCCACTTTCGAAACTAGAAATCGTTCTCGAATTTTCGCGCCATTTGCACGTTCGTATTTGGAGAGTGCTTTTTACGTTACTTTCAGCAGATGAATTTCGAACGAACTCAAAGAGTGCATTATACCCTAAGTGCACTAATGCTTTAGAACAGCAAGAAGAACAGCAACTAGCACGATTCATACCTAGAACCTTAGTCGTCCCTTGCATGGACCAACTGCCCCAAATAAGCAGAATGAGACGCTAAATGTGAATTTATTACAAACAAAGAGGAGAAACAGAGCTTCGCAGATCTTGCAATACAACGCACAACTAGCATGGCCGAAATATAATGAGGTGAAGGAGAGCCATACTATCAAGTGGAATTTTCTAAGGAACATTGTGGTAAAACAACATCTACACAAATTTCATAAATTTGTCTACAATGTCTAGAACAATGTTCAGTTTAAGGAAAATAAGGAAAACATATCATAAAAAGCCATGAAAAAACTATCTTTCATACCAATATATAAACCTACAGCCAATATACCCGCATATTATAATGGTCTTTTAGAACAGTAATTAACTAATAATGTTTTACAACTTGGAAAAATTCATCGTAAAAATGTAGAAATTATACGCTCTTCGCTAAATTTGAGTATGAAGCCGAAAAAATCAGACCAGCTTTTCTCAACACCGAAAAACTCTTTTGATTCTTTACTGGTATTCGAATCGCGACTTCCGAAGGGGCTCGCTGATTATAACAATTTATTACAAATAGAGAGGAGAAACGGAGCTTCGCAGATCTTGCAATACAAGCTCAACTAGCATGGCCGAAATATAATGAGATGGAGGAACGGTATACTATCAAGCCGAATTTTTAAAGAAACATTGTGCTAAAACAACATCTACAAAAATTTCATAAATTTGTCTACAATGTCTAGAGCAATGTTCACTTTAAGGAAAATATTAAACTTATCACCGAGTGGCAACTAAGCCGACTATACATGTGCAGACGCCTGTTACATTGTCATAAAAAATTGACCTTAATAGTTTTTCAACCCGAATTTTTTACACCCAAATTATCCTTCCTCAAACGCAGCGATAAAATGCGACAAGCTTGGTACAACAATAGACGATACCATTAAAGTCGATTTAACGGCTCTTTTGCAGATCCCCCTTTAATTTTTTTCTGAAATTCATTAAACGAAAGTCTAATTAAAATAACTTTTGATGTTATAAACTGCATAAAACGTGTCAGCGTGAACAAGTGAACAAATTTCTACAATAGTTTTAATATACAAATTGCCGTGTGAACAATTATTGAACAGCTTTGTTTTGTAATTTCACGAGGGGGTCGGGAAACTGGAAAAGAGCCGATTTAACATTTAAAGCGAAAAAAAAAGAAAATATATAATCGCACGAGTAAAAACAACAACCGGTAATTCAACTTGAATTTTCATAAAATTGAGTATGTCAGCGTAACAATTTGCTAACAATATGTCAGTGTAACAATGGAAAGCCCATTGTTACGCTTTCGCATACATTGAGCGCGTAACAATAATTTCACGTGCTAAAATATTTAGAAAAAAAGTCGAGAAAAAAGCAAATTGTTACGCTGACATGCTCATTCGATAATCAAATGATTCAGCGATTCTCTTTGACGACAAGTTTTCGGCCCTAAAAAGTCTGTTCCGATTTGATAAGGATTGCTAATCACAAAAGTAAAAATTCAACCCCGAAGAGGAATTAATCCATAGATACCAATGCTATTTTGTTCTCAATGAAGAACTTTTTCTTCCTTTTTAATGGGGAGAGAAGAAAGTTAAAGAGATCCGAAAGATGTATATCATTGCTTTTTCGTACTTCTACTCAAACTGAAGTGACCAAAATATAATTTTTTTAACAACTTTTGGAGCATGTATCTTTGAGGTACCCGATTTCGTGAGCGAAAAAAAAACGGTGATATATTACAATAGGTGATAATTTTAATTATAGTGCATGTATTAAACTTGAGAACTATAAAGCATAATATGATCATTTCATTTTCAATCATTTGTACATGCTGCTAGGATAGTTTTGTAAATACAGTACTCTGCCAGATGAAAGTTATTCAAAAACTCAAATTTTGCACTTCTTTCGCCAAAAAATTTGGCTTTTGAAATAAATTATAAATACTGTGCGAAGTATAACAAAAAGCGATCCAGCTATTTAACTTTAAATTACGACCTTTTGTAATACATCACCAAAAAACATCTGATAACTAAGCGTCTTCCTAAAACAGGCTAGCAAAATCGATATTGTGTATTCATTTTTCGCACCGGCAATTCCCTTTTATCGATTAAAAGCACTCAAAATTTCCATCTCGTAAAACCTTGTATGTCCTATGATCTCAATCAGCCCTTAAAACTGATGTCCGATACTATAGTTTGGAGGTCAAAATCACAAGCTTCAAAAAAAATATCCTAGCATACGATGAAAAAAGTAAAGATGATCATCATTTTCTAGGAAAGTATCGTGAACGTTCATCATCGTCGAAGATGAGCATGAAAAAATTTTTCTGAAAAAGATGAAACTCATAATTTAAACTGCATTCAAATAATGGTGGACACTTGAGATACGCCTCTTTGGGGTCCCAGGTAGGTTGGGCTCTTGCAAGGAACCCATAAACCGAATAGCAAAAGGACCAGAATTAACAAGTACATGGTTAAAGGGCCTCAAGAGTGGAACAATAAAAGGGAAAGACAACACATTGCTACTACTTCCGTGCATTTCCTGAAACCGAACTCTACGAAATTAATTACTGTCAAAATTATTCATAGGAACATTTCCCGGAAATGGCAAACGTAAAATCAGAGATCCATATAACTAGCAAGAAAAACTATATAAGTAGCAAGAAAAACAAAATTGGCAATGATGTTAAACGGCGCCTTCCATAAAGACTCGAATTGGCAACGTGGAAAGGGAAGATTTAGAAAGCGACAGTTGATGTCAAAGACAACAGTACAGGGCCAGTAGCAGAGTAGCGTTTCCTCATGACGACACTGCGGAGGTTTCTAGTTGGGACAGGAGATGCCAATCATCGCTTTTTTACGTTCATCAGAAACTTCTAGAAGGCGTAACCAGATGGCAACGAGAGAGCATATGGCTGCAGGTAACTTATAGCTGTCCCATCAAGGGCCGCGGGATGACCACTGGCCCAACAGAGGAGAAAGATATCGCCAGACCGTGAGGTAGACTTTTTCAAATGTTTTTAAATGAGATTCAAAAAACAGCCAACAGAGTTGGAAAAGAGTAAATGAACGCAAAGAAAAGCATTGTTTTTTGAAAAACTTTCAGAAACCGAATTTCAAAAATTAAAATATATGGCCATTAAGCTCTCCAAATTGCAAAATAAATTGAGGATTGAGACTTTCTGATGAAACAAATTCAATTTGAGAAAACTGAATTAATAAGAATTTTTTTCCTGATAATCAAAATATATTTTCGAAAATAGCGGTCGATCACGTGTTTCGTGACCTTAACATTTTTGCTCCTCGATAGTGGAGTTTGCCATTATTGAAGTTGACTTTAAAAGAAATCAAAAGTCAAACCGCAAAAATCCAAATTGACTTTTTCCGAGAAAAAGAAATCATCACGACCTTTAATAAGAGTCTTAACTACGTTCATCGACTGTTGAACATAATTGAAAAGCATAAAGTTTTATAAGGGGTCATTTGTCGAAAAAATATTTCCAATTTATTCATTATGAAATCATAAAGACGCATGAGCCGAAGAACAAAAATTAGCATCAGAACACTGACTTGTCAATCAGGGATGGAAAATGAAAATTTATCAAACAATGAACAATAACAATCAAAAAATATTTTTTCCTTAGCTATCACTGAAAATTTTCATCAAAAAATCAAAAAGAGTCTAAAACTTGAGTGAAAGCCTCGCTATCAACAAATACAACCAAGAAGCATATGCTTTAAAATGGACTAGGTCAAATGCGGAAAAATAGGAATTTTAAATGTAAGATGTAACAAGGATAGCTTGTTGCTGTTGCACCGAAAGCTCCGATCATAATTTAAAAAAATTTGCACAGAAAGTTCTGGCCATAAAAGTTTTAGCACAGGACGTTTCGACCTGGTTGCACAGAACGCTCAGGTCATAATGAAAAAAGCTGTTTTTTATACTATTGTGCCGCTTTTTGTCGCGTGGGATGAGAGAAACTAAAAGAAAGTAATTTTGATAGTAAAAGTAAATTCGTTAAAAATGACAATAAATTTCCTCGGTAAAACATAAAGTTAAAAAATTGTTTTTTGATTTTTTTGAACTTTTTCCTAAAAAGTCGCAAAAAATCATTAATTAATTTTTATTGGAATAAAACTCAAATTTCACAGCTTAACTTGATTTTTATAACTAACATAACAAGTTTATTATAAGACAATCACTCGCTTAAAATAAGACTGGAAATTTCAAACTGAATTTGCGTGGGAAAGATAAACACAGAAGCGAATCGGAGCTTTGCATCATTTGCGATACACAAAAGAATGACTGTGATTACCAGCAAATGAAATGAAAAGTCAAAAAATGAAAAAAAAAACTATTAGATTTTTTTTTCAGAAAAATATGCAAAAAAGCAACAAGGACAAAAATCCTCAATATACCTGCACTATAACAAACTATGCAACGAGCTTTCAAAATGCTAAAAATAAACCGAACCTTTTTGCGGGACCTAAGCCGACAAAAACTAGCAGCCACGAAAGTCTAAACTATTCGAAAAGTTTCAGTTTCTACAACAAAAACGGGTCTCGTCTGGAATCGAATTTCTGGCATTTGTCGTTTCAAGCATGAGTGTTACCACTGCATCAAAGCACAGAACATGCCTTGAATTCATAAAGTAAGCAACTTCTAAAATTTTTAAATAGAAAAAATGCATAGAAAATAGGCAAAACTTCTGGGAACTCAATTACTTGACCAAACCGGAATACACAGAAATGGTTTTGAATTGAGTTAAAAAAATGCCGAAACTTTGCGCAATTTTTGTGCTGCGGAAACTAAGCCGATTTAAAAAAGCAGACGAACCAAAGTCCGACAAAGATTTTATGACTCGCAGACAATTTTCCGCTTACAAAAAACAGGTCCTGGCGGGATTCGAACCATTGACCTTTGTCTTTATAGACAGGTACGTAAGCTGTTCGCCACATGCGCGAATTAACGTCTGTTTTTTTATTACATAGGAAAAAAAGGTAAAAAAATAATTTGTGAATCTGTTACACTAGTTCTTAAAGCGAAAAAAGTCTATATTCCGGCAAGCGTAAACACACCCGAAGACAAAGTTCCTCCACATTTGCAATGGTCGCAACAAAAAGGGTAAAAAAAAGGGTAAGAGTAATAGTCAAAACCAGCCACACATACACATATGAAATAGGCATGACTGTGAGAAAAATGTTTACTCTGAATGAGTTATTAAATTGGTACAGCTATGATAGAGTGGTCCCTCGAAAAAGCAACTATGATAGACAGATCCCGCAAGCATTTCGCATGTAATAATTTGATAACTAATTTGTGCATAATTTATTCATTTCAGGGATCTCGGAAAATATGTTGAGTCAGAAATTTTTCAGATTAAAAAGTGCAATTATTATAATGTTCAAGAAAAATGCTCGCTTAAATTTTTTTTACTACTTAAAAACCATATTTTGGTGAACTTATTTGTCGTCGACTTCCAATTTTGGCAATTTTTAAAACTTCATATCTTAAAATGGTGATTTAGGTGTATTAATCTCAAGCGACCTGGTGATTTTCAAGGCGCAACTCTATCATAGTAGTACCAACAAATTTTCAAGCAATTTACGATTATAGGATGCTGTTTTACTGATAGATGCCGAAAACGCTTTCAACTCGCTGAACCGAAAGCTGGCATTAAAAAACATCGAAAATACCTGCCCTTCCCTTTTAATAGCGATTAAGAACTCCTACTCCAATCCAACTAAAATATTCGTTAACAAAAAAACAATCTACTCTCAAGAAGGGACAACCCAGGGGGATCCACTAGCAATGGCCATGTACGGTCTAGCCATAATACCCCTCATAAAACTTTTATCAGTAGACGATGTAACCCAGAAATGGTACGCAGACGACGGAAACGCAGTCGGTAAATTAAGCAATCTACGATCCGTCCACGATAAAATTGTATCACTGGGTAAATTTTTCGGCTACCACGTGAAAGCATCCAAATGCCAACTCATTGTCAAGGATGAAAAACTCGGTGAAGTTCAGAAAATTTTCGCAAATACAGGAATCACTATAAAGACAGGAGCCCGAGTGGTTGGTTCAGTTATAGGAACAGAATCTGAATGTAAAAAGTTCCCCGAATTTCAACAGAGTGAGAAAATCAAAATTTTGAAAAAACTAACGAAAACCGCTAAAACCTCCCCTCAAAACGTTTATGCCTGCTATACTAAAGGATTTCAAGAAAAGCTTTCATTTCTTGCCAGGACAACGCCTAACACTATGGAAAATATAGAAATATGTGAAAATATTATCAAAGAACAAGTATTACCTAACCTAGTCGGTAAAGACACTTTAAACCCCCAGTTCCGTGAGATATCTTCCTTACCCCTTAAAATGGGCGGACTTAACATCAATCTGCCATCCGATCATGAAAGCTACCTAGAATGGTCTAAGTAAACATCACTAGTACTGGAATCTCAAGATCCTATTACAGCAGTAACACAGCAAGAAAAAATATGTACGAAAATCAAAAAAATTGAAAACTGATAGAACAAATCGAAAAAAAAACAAACTTCATTAACTCCTTAAATGAAACAGATAAATACACAATCGACCTGGCCTCTGAAAAGGGAGCCTCAAACTGGCTCAATGCTCTACCACTGATCAGATACAACTTCAACCTGAATAAATCAGAGTTCAGAGATGGTATTTACTTAAGATGCGGATGGGAACCAACCAAAATCCCACTCACATGTGCACGTGGTGCTGATTTTAACTTGACACATGCGCTTCACTATGCAAAGGGTGGCTACACACACATAAGACACAATGAAATTAGAGACACATTCGCCAACCTCATGAACGAGGTTTGCCATGACGTCGAGATTGAGCCGAAACTTCAGCCGTTGCAAGGCGAAAGCTTTGTCAACAATTCAACTACAACTGAAGATGAGGCACGACTTGACATTAAGGCAAACGGACTCTGAGGTTCACGATTCAGCTGCGCTTTCTTTGATGTGAAAATTTTCAACCCCCATGCCAAAACATCGCGAAAACTGCATAAGGATGCATACAAATACCACGAAACGCTGAAGAACTCCAAATATCAGCAAAGAATTTTAAACGTAGAGCAGAGTAGCTTCTGCCCGCTAATTTTTGGATGCACTGGTGGCGCTGCTCCAACAGCCACGCGGACGATGCAGCGATTAGCCGAAAAACTGAAAAAAGACAAGAAAGCTATCCAGAATCTATAAACTACATAAGAACTAAAATAAGCTTCGCGCTCCTGAGGAGCTCTATACTTTGTATAAGGGGGTGCAGATCGCTACGCAAAGTTCAATTTATCGACAACTCCATAAGCGCTATTGTAGAGGAAGGACGGATAAGATAAATTAATATTACGACGATGCATTTAATGCTGATTTATGACTTCATTGCTGATATATATGCATTTTTATATCGCTGGTATGGCCCTATCCAGCTTGTGCACTTACTGTAACTAAACGGAAGGGACCCTTTTGTAATTTAGTTTTTTTTTAAATTATAGGACATTTGCTAATTCTATGAACCAATTAAATGGTAGAAACCAAAATGCGGATTTATGAAATCATAAAAAGCAAATTTGTTACGGAAAAAGTGGGCTAAACTTGTTTTATTTGTTACTTGAAAAACGGATCCATTCTTTGCGCGAATAGATGGGTGAAATTTCAGATAAATTAAGCATTGATATGACTTTTACGTTACCTACCTTTTCGATTTGGAAACAAAGCCGGTTGCTCTGCATGCCTTCTGACTTCATTGAATATCGAGTCCAATGAAAGTTGACACGGCTCTGAAATTTCGGTACTTGAGCTCTGTGGATGTATTACTGTACTTTCTGATGTTGCAAAATTGGGGTTCAACAGAGGAGCTACTCTTCCGTTTGGGATGAAATGTAGGTAAGGGGAAATCGCTGATCTCTCGGATAATTGCATTTTACGCTGATGATCCAGATTTACTTTGGTTTTCTTGCATACGCTCGGACTTTTAACGAGCTTCGTATACGCGGAGTACGGATTAGACTTACTTTCAGTGCTCAGAAGTCTTTTGCCAGTTAATTGCAGAGCTTCTGAGATATTATTTGTTTGTGATATTAATTGCTGAGGAAAGGTGGGCACGTTTTGTTCAATTGACTCTAGAAACTCGTCTAAAGCTGATTTCGGTGCCGCATGCCCTTCCAACTGTTTTCCATTTGACACTTCAGGAGCTCTAGACTTCGCTGAGCTTTTCCTTTGGAAACGAGTGAGTATTGAAGGCTTCTGACGATTTGGTCGATCCTCAATACACATTGAGTTGCTGTCTGATTTTACAGTTGCATTAGAGTCAAGGCTTTTCTCCACTGACCCTTTGAAATATAATTTTATCAAATTCACAGACGATGTATGCTCTCTGCAACTACCGTTACTTTTGGATATTTCTACACTTTTTATCCGCTTATTGCCCATCGTTCTAGAAAAGAACTTTGGAAGCTCTTCGGGCTGGCAAGATATTAATTTTGCTTCAGCGTTTTCTGGTGACTCTCGTCCATTGTCCTTTAATGGAAGACGCTTATCAGGTGATTTAGGAACAACCACAGGCATTTTCCGCAACAAAATTTTTCTATCATTGGAAGACACTTGCATGATAGCAGATACTGCATGTCTTTTCGTCGTCCTACCTGAAAATAACACAGATATTTCACTCATTCTTTTCAGAAAAAGAAAGAACACCTGAATTACTATACAGTAAAAAGCCGAGGCATCAGTATAGCAAAATGTAAATAATAAAGTTGGTTAAAATTCATTGGTTACATCAAACAAAAACACAACATCAGAAAACAAGCAATAAACAAAACAAAACAAAACAAATTCGGTTACAGTTCAGAAATTGGTTGATTAAAATATATGAAGTTACGGATACTAAAAAACATCAGTTTTAAGAATTAAGAACGAGCTGGTATCAAAACTTTACAAACGATTTTTTGATAGTCCAAACATACAGCGTATATACAGAGTATATACAGATTCTCTTTCAAAAAATGTCTGGAAAATTAAACTAAATTAAAACATATAGAACTAGCAAAAACGGAAATCACGCCACGTATTTGTATTTGTACATATTGGATTGTTTCTCAATTCACTCACGTAAAATTCTTTCAATTTTTTCTTGAATCCTGTTCGCGATTTTTCTAAATTGCGCAAAATTATGGGCAGTCAATTCCATTTTTTAGAAGTCAAATGAAAAATGATTTTTGTAGAGAAGCGGTTGAACAATGTTTGTCAAAAATAATTTATTTCGTTCTTTTATTGAGCCTATAATTGGCAGTCGGTAGTCTCAATGTATTTTGAAAAGCCTTCTTTTTGTTTGTAAGATATTGGTATAAGTATGTTATACACTTTAATTCAATTCTTTTCTCGATTCCAATGAACGATTTGCTAATGCGAAGAAGGGAAGAAGATTTAAATTTTGTCTGAAATATGTTCTTTTTAACGCCCAGTTCAACTGTTTCTCTAGAGATAGCATCAAAGTAGCATTAATTTGTTGTAAAAAAATTGCTGAATAATCTAAATGTGATAAAACAAGACAATGAAGCAGGGGAACTAATGATAATGTCGGCAGTTGTTGTCCAATTGTATCTATAGTTTTAATTCCTTGTGCCTTTTTTTGGAAAATTGTTTTGATTTGAGCATGAAAAGATAAACTTGAATCAAGAATAAGGCCTAAATATTTGCATTCTGATATTTTGGCTACATTATGCCCATTAATTACTGTTGTATCAGTATCTACATTTTTGCTATCATTTTTTTGACAAAATGTTATAAATTCCGATTTAGATGCATTCAGATTCAATTGGTTCTCTGCAAAAAAATCCGTTAGATTATTAAGTGATTTTTGCAATCGTTTCAAAGCATCCTCAGAAATTATAGAAGAGGAAAAAACCATACAGTCGTCAGCATATTGAACTAAAGTACAACCTTCATATAATCGCTCTTGTATGTCATTAACATATAAATTGAACAACAACGGACCAAGTACCGTTCCTTGTGGGACACCTCGTTTGATTTCAATCCAGTCTGAAAAAATTTCATTGACGTTTACTCTTTGAATACGTTTGTTTAGGAAGCTAGCAATTAAAGCATTTGCTCCATTTGAAAAACCGAGAGAAACCATTTTTTCAATTAAAACTTCATGCGAAATAGAATCAAAAGCCTTGGACAGATCTAATAAAGCTGCATGTACGATTTTTTTTGAATCTATTTGATTTCGAATACTTTCTGTCACATAAACAAGAGCATCTTGTGTTGAAATATTTTTGCGAAATCCGAATTGAAATGGTGTCCTTATTTGAAATTTGTCAAGATATTCTGTTATTTGGGCATTAAAAATTTTTTCAAAAATTTTAGAAAAAGCACAAGTTATTGATATTGGCCGATAAATTTTTGCATCCATTGGGTCATCTTTTTTAAACAAAGGGGTTACGTGTGCTTTTTTCAGTTCGATCGGGAAAATGTTCCCATCTAAGCAAGTATTTATGACAAAAGTTAAATGTGGAACTATAACTGATTGACCGTCAATGATTGCCCAAGCAGGTACGGTACAAGGTCCGAGAGGTTTTCTAACATTGATTTTTCGAACTATATCAAATCATTGCTTCACTGTAATGTGTTGAAAATGGAAAGGTGCAGATTCAGAGGCAGATTTGTTGTAATTCTGAGGCTTTTTAGCGCCGAAAAATTCGCCTAAGATCGAAAAAATATAATTTAAATGATTGGCAATTTTTTTGTCTTGGGTTATCATTTCACTGAAGGAATTTCGTAGAACTGTAATTCGATTGTTGCCAGAACATGTACCTCTAACTTGGTTAATATATTTCAATTTTTGTTGGATAGTGCTGAGAAGTGAAAAACAATTTTTTGAGTGATCGAGTTGTTTACTTCTAATCAACTGGCTCATTTGATTACGTAAAAACTGGTACTTTGACCAATTATTGCTTGCGCTCCGACTGCGATATGATTTGAGTGAATTCTGTTTCTTATTCAACAATTGCTGACATTTTGAGTCGAACCATTCCGTTTTCAATACATTTTTTGGTTTAAAATTACGAACAAATTTTTTTCGATAGGAGCATGTTGCTGAAGAGCATTAGAAATTAAATAAATCATCGTCGAGACATGTTTTGTGAGTCTGTACATTGATATAAGAGATACCAAGGAAGAGCGGAGAGTGTATTGCAAAATTCATTTTTCTGATAATTTTTCTTATTGAAAGTCGAAATTATCCTCGGTAAACTTTTGCCGCTTTTTATGTCCATCAAAATAAATCAAGCAAAATGGTCGGTTTTATAAGGTGTATCAAAACAAAATTCAATGCCGTTTGTTTCATAGTCACTGATGATGTAGTCGATATGAGTTTTAGTTGAGGAACTAATTCTGGTCTCATCGTTTGGACAAAAAACCTTCAATCCATATGGAATAATTATAGAATCTAAATTTTCTTTTTCTTTGCTATCCAGATAATTTATGTTATAATCACCCAGAAGCGTAATTTTATTAGAAACTGAAAATGCATTATCTATGTTAAGCGTTAATTGCTCCAAAAAATCAATAAAGTTTGATCTGCTTGGATTAAAACACAAATTAACTAACATTTTTTCTTTACTGGAAATGTTAAATGTAGATTTGCACTCAACCCACACTGACTCATATTTTTCTTTATCAAATAAATTTAAATCAGGCCTCAATTTCGGAGCCAATTTGATTGGTATATATAACAAAACGCCACCGCCTTTCTTTTTTACCGCTGATTGCCTATCATATCTGAACATCGCATGCGTTCTAGGGTGGAGATTCCATAAATTGTCACTATTTTCTTTTTTAAGCCACGTTTCGGAAATTCCTATAATTGTATTTTCGCCCATACCATCATGAAGTTTTTTCAATTGCATCCGTTTTCTAATAATACTTTGAAAATTCAAATGAACAAATTTAAGATTTGCACAATTTTTTGAGCAGATGCCGTAGACTGTTTCAATGGTTTCAATAGGACCAGGGTTTTTTTCAACATCCCCACTTTGGGTCAGTAACAACGCAAAAAGGAAAAGATGAGTCAGTGTGGTAGCTCTCCGCTCATTTATCCCACATTTCGATGATAATATCTTTTGATGGCAGCTTAGATAGCCCCAGTAAACAATGGTTTTTTCTCTATTTTCCATCTGAGCCTTGGAAATTAGAAAAATTGCACAAAACAACCAGAATTTAATATTCAGCATAATAAATTAAATAAATTAAATAATCGCCAAAGTTTGCACCAAGAAAAAATGCGAAACTAGTATTTCCTATAGAATTTTGCACCGTTTTGGAAAAATTGTATCATTTCTGTCGTTTTTGGATCTAAATTTGATGATTGTTGGGTTTGCTTCATTCTGGGGCGGGTTGTAATCTCACATGTGTTTGCATTAATATCAGAACCTCTAAAAGAATCTCTAAAATTTTGCACCAAAATTTCAACACCCCCATCAGAAGGATGCAAACCATCCGAGCTAAGCGCATCGGTATTTTGACTAAAATTTTTGTTTATGTCTAAAATATCCAATTTTACTTCGCCCAAGTCCTTTACATTCCGTACTAAATTAAAAATTTGCTTGTTTAGCTTCTGTACATTTGGATTAAAATCTTTTCTAAAAGCGCCTAAGGGAGTTACAGTACATAGTGAAATTGTTTCTGGGGAGAATTTATGATTTACGAGATAAATTAGTTTTTCTAAGCTACTCACGGCTTCCTTCGCGTCGAAATCATTTGAGAGGCAGTCATTTATTCCAATTAGCGTAGTTACATGTTTAAAATGTCGCGATTTGCTGTTTCTCACGCGTTCCAGCAATGCAGAAATTTTGTGCCCACCAAATCCTCTCGCCAACACATTTTCCGATATTTGTTCCCCATTGATTCTGTTAACAATTGAGTCTCCCAGTAATAGGCCAGAATATTCTCCTTCTCGTGGTAAAAATAAATGTTTTCGTTGTTGGTCGAATTTGTCTTCTTGAATATGGTTGCTTGTATTTTGATTTCTTGGTTATTCTTGCTTTCTTGGTTATTTTCGCTTCGTTTGTTCTGATTTCTGCTCCGAGTTTCAATCTTGCTCCATTCATTTTCAAATTTGTTTTCTGCAATTTTCGAATAGCCCGTGTTTTTAAAATTTTCTAGATCAATAAATTTGTTTCCTTTTTCTTCATCTTTCGTTGATACAGTTAAGTTTTCGATAATTCGTTTAAAATAAGTAACCTTTTCGATCAAGTCTTTATACAGCTCGTATTTCATTTCGTCGTTCAAATTTCGGAAAGTTTCGAGGTCAAACATGTGGGCGATTAAAAGCGAAATTAAAAATAAGACATTAAAAAGAACCGACTGATCGCTAGAAATTTAAATTGGTTGTGAACAGGGTAATCAGAATGACAAAATGTATCTTGATGACATACGCTATTTCACGAGCTCTTCATTAATATTAGTAAATCAGGTGAGAAAATATCATGGTAACCGAAGTTATTTCACTAGTCTTTAATCATTTCACCGGGTCAAAAAACCATTGAAATTTCATGAAAAAGGGAAAATTTTGAAGAGAAGTCAATTAAATTGAACAGGAAATAAAAAGAGCGTATATACCGCACAGTTTACAGTTGAAGCAGTAAAGCGAAGGGTGTGGGTCAACTAGTTGCCTCAAG